CCATCCCTCCCCCAGGTTCAAGGTTCCTATCAAACATCTATGGGTCATCAGCAGCTCCCAGAACTTTAGTTCACCTCTATTGATAGACTTGGGAAATCCATAAAAAATGTTTTTATAAACATACTCAAGTTCAGTAAACAAAATCAACTAATTAAATTTTAAAATAATCAAAGCATGCTAGGTCATACTAAGGCCCATTTTAGTACAATATGCCCTTCTGATTTCTTTCACCAATTTAAAAATGTCCTATGTTCACAAGTTGTAATTTACATTTACTGTATGTACAATATTGCTATCCAAGGTAATTCTATGGAATATGATGTTCTTCCAAAGTTTGTTAGAATTTATGCCCTCCTTGATATAAAGAATGAAACCCTACTGTAGTTTGTAGTTCTCATATAATTTGTATCCAAGAATTACTGTATTCTATTCATTATCTCAGTTCCATCAGTTCTATTCCATCCTATTATACCCCCTGTATTTATCTTCTTGTTCATAAACAATTTAGCACAGAGATGCTATCTCTTCATCATTCTATCTATTTATCTTGATTCAATATACAGAAAATGAAAAAGTAATATTCAAAATAATATTTATCTTAACAACACAATTTTATTTTTATTTAAAGTACAAATCAAGTATATTGCTATTTTGCAGTCCATATGCCTCTTGCCATAACTCAGGTGGTTTAAAAATTTGATTAGCAGTAAGCTGATCCAACGCATTAGTCCTCTTGTTCACCTACGAAGAAAATTTTCAAAATGGGATTACTCCCAAATGTAAGCTTATCATGCAAATAAGAATCAAATGTAAATTAATGAAAAATTACATAAATAAAAATAAAAGTGAATGTTTTCAAAATACACCTTGCAGCTTTTAATACAGGAAACGTAATCAAACTATTGTTAAAAGTGAAGTCAATTCCCTGACAATTAGAAGTGCTTCCATTTGTGCCAATGATTTTTTTTTTAACTTGATTTGTATTTCATAAAAACATGAGTCTAAAAAGATATGCTTAGTTATAAAGTTGAAAATCAATGAAGTTAACTACTATGGTCATAATTTGCATATTCTAGGCCACTCTTTTGCACCTTCCATATCTGTGTACTTTGACTCCCAGAATTCTCTGACCAGCCATTGTTCAGAATTCTGGAAGTTGAAGTCCAAAGATAAGAAAGCTGTCAAGGTTGAGAATTACTGGTCTTATGCAAAAACTGGAAAACATTCTCTCCTGAGAATAATAGTAATTATTATTCATAACTTGGTTTTCTTTTGTCTTAAATGCTCCCATTTTTGATGCCTTGGCTTATTCCCCCTATCACTAAACTCATCTTTATTTTTATTTTGTGCTGTTCTCAAGCCACTAAACAATTCTGATTCTATCTGCCCTCCTGACTGTTTAAAAGCTCACAACTGTCTTCTTTCCAAAAACTGCTAATTGGAACTAAGATATTGGCAGAGAAGTAAAACCCATCCACTCATTAATTACTCAATGAGTGAATTGCCTACTTCTGTAAGCTCTTCCCCTCAACTATGAGAAACATAAACACACTGAGTCAGAAAAAAAATCAAACTGAAATGGATCAAGATATAATTGGTTCACTTCTTTCTTAGCCATGTATTTTGGTTGAGGGGATAAGGAATATGGAAGAGGAAAGGAACTTTTTAAGCAAGATCTAGGATTTTCATTTCTAGAAAAAGCTCTGCAACCACATCCTTCAAGATAATGGGGACCAGCCAGGAGGAATAACTGCCCAGAGTCAAAAAGATCTTGATAGACTTGAACAATGGGCCCTATCCAACAACATGAAATTTAATGTGGAGAAAAGCAAGGTTTTACAACTGGGCAGGAAAAATTAAAGTTATAGGTACAGATTAAGTGAAACCTGACTCAAAAATAGTAATTGTGAGAGAGAACTTGGAGTCCTAGTGGACGATTACTTAAACATGAGTCAGCAGTCTGCAGCAGCAGCCAAAAAAGCTAATACAATCCTTGGTTGTATAAACAGAGGCATAGAATCAAAATCATGTGAAGTATTAGTATTGCTTTATAAATCCTTAGTAAGACCATACCTGGAATACTGCATTCAGCTTTGGTCACCACATTACAAAAAAGATGTTGAGACTTTGGAAAAAGTACAAAGAAGAGCAACTAAGATGATTAAAGGCATGGAGATTAAAATATATGAAGAATGGTTTCAGGATTTGGATATGGCTAGTCTAGAAAAAAGAAGGACTAGAGGGGGACATTATAACAGTGTTCCAGTATTTGAGGGGCTGCCACAAAGAGGAGGGGGCAATTTATTTTCCAAAGCACCAGGGGGGCTGACAAGAAACAACGGATGGAAACTAATCAAGGAGAGAAGCAACTTGGAATTAAGGAATAATTTCTTAACAGTGAGGACAATTAACCAGTGGAACAGCTTGGCGTCAAAGGTTGTGGGTGCTTCATCACTGGGGGTTTTTAAGAAGAGACTGGACAGTCATTTGTCTGAAATGATATAGGGTCTCCTGCTTGAGCAGGGGGCTGGACTAAGACCTCCAAGGTCCCTTCCAGTTCTATTCTGATTCTGATCTTCAGTCCATATCAAACATTCTTTATTTCAAATTACATGGCAGGGAATTTCTATGCCTTGCCCATTCTCCACATTAAGATCCTTTTTGATCAGAAGATGTTGCCAAATCATATTTCTCAGATTGGTAAAGTTCATTTCTCTTAAACTTTAGGAACCCATGGATACGGAGCACAGCTGCCACTGTTGGTTACTAGAACCACAAGTGAGTGAAGCCCAAACAAGTTTGTGAAATGCAGAACACCCTTGTACTTAACTGCCAGTTTTTCCACAATACTCTGTCCAAGGTCCTGATTGATTCTACCTTGTCAAATTCAGAACCTTCTCATGAAGATTATCTTCAGTCTGATCTGATCTTGTGGAATATGCATCTGCCTTTTTGCTGTTACGTTGCCCATCTGAAATGTAACAGATGCAGTTTCTTCTTCTGAAAACCCTGAAGAAAAACAAGTCATATTTATTGATCATGTTGGTAAACCTATTTGAGAGGAACTATTGATTCTCTGATGATTCTTCTTGATTAAAAAAAGCAAGGATTTTTATTTGATCAGATTTTTAAGTAATTTTAAAGAATTATATAAAGATATAATCTCTTTCTCAGAAGTAATCTCTTATCTCAAGAATTACTCTCCCCCTCATCAAATCCTTTTCTTGGATTGTTCAGAAATATTGTTCGAATATGGAGACTAGAGATTTTATAGCATTGTTTAAAAAGATCTAGAAAGTACTCTATACATTGTACAAGTATTTTAAAATGTAGGTGTGTGAAAGACACAGTAATTTCCACAGTGAAAGAGTGGATGGTAAAAGTGATAAGAGTTAGCAGAGATGGCAAAATTGATTGTTTTAATTTAAAAAATTATCTAGCTTTGTTTCTCCTTGGAAACAAGTAGACTTTTTGCTAAAAAATGAAAAATGAAACATTTTCATTTTAAGTTTCAATGATTAGAATGATTTTGTAATTATAGAAATGGCTTGGAATCTTTTGAAATGTTAAATAAAAGGATTGATGTTGTATTATTTTGTACTCTACTGCACCCCCCAAAATTTGAAGTTTTTATCTTTTTTTCTCTTTCCCCATTTCTTTTTTTCTATTCTAATTTTTGTTTGTTCTATATTTTTATATTATAATGAAACTCAATAAAATAAACAAAACTCTTGGTGAATGCATGTTAAATATACAGGGAAATCTAGCTACATTTATTTATCTATTTATTTATTATTGATAAATTATCATTCACTCTTCTTTATAAACATAATTTCAAGTTTTCACTAGTATGTTATGGTTCATAAGCAAATAATAGCCTTTTAATTCATTTTTCTGTGATATCCATAGTGGAAAATAAGAGTTATATGACTTTTTACCTGTGGAGGAGAAATCTACCATGCACACAAAAGCTTTCTGTATCTTGTGCCATAGTTTTAAACATATGGATATAATTTCCTCAGATGAGTGTGTGGATATAAAATCAAAACATTGACTTAAAAAAGTAAAAAAATTTTCTTGTTATTTATTCATATAACATTAGAAAAGCATGTTGTCTTTTTTATATTAGTTTTATTCATTTATAACATAAAATGTGAAAATACAAAAGCAAATAGTAGGGGACAACAGTAGAGAAAGGGAAAAACATGTGAAAAAGGAGAGGGGAGGAAACAAAAGGCATTGACTTCCAACTCTGTTGCAGTAAAATCAGACATTAAAATCAAATCTCAACATTTTACATTTCTATAGTAGAAAGCACTAGCCATTTCTGTATTGGCAAATCAGTCTAATCAGTAAAACCCAAAATCATAATATCATTTTTTTTCTACCTCAAGCACAAAGTTCAGAAGCGGTTTCCAAGTAGAAACAAAACTACTTATGTTTTTTTCTTTTATCAACACAGCCATCTTTTATCAATCTGGCCATCTCTGCTAATTCCACCAACTTTTGTAACCATTTGTCCATGATAGGAATCGAGGCATCCTTCCACTTTTGTGCATAGAGCAATCTTGCTGCCGTCACCATATATAAAATCAGAGTTCCATTTTTTTTCCCAGTTCTCTTTCCATTAGACCCAGAAGGAAAGTTTCTGGTTTAATCTTTATATTCACTTTAAGAATTTTCTGCATTAATATATGAATCTATTCCAATATTTCTTTGCCTTATCACATGTTCACCATAAAAAGTCACTTCAAAAGCATATTGTCAAATTGCAGAGGAATAATCATGGGAACTTCCAGGGTTCATGAGTTACCTATCACTCTACAATAATCTGTGAAACAATTTTTGATATACAAAGCAGAGAGCCTTGAAAATCAAATATACAATAGATAGCTATTTGGGGGCATGCATGTTTGCATACTCTATAGATGTGATAAAGTAATATTATGATAGCCAAATAAATATGGCTTTCTCTCTCTCTCTCTTCCATTTCTTTTCAGATCCAGTAAGAGGATAACCTCGTGGATGGCTCTACAGTAAGCCAGATGGAACAGGATAGAACTAATCATGATGAAGGCAATAGTTTAAATCCTTTTTTAATTCCACATTCTTCTCGTGTTTGCCAAGCAGAGCCTTTGTCAGTGAAGCTGCATAATGGAAACACATCAGCAGAAAAGATCTACAATGAACTGAATGGCAACCATATGTGGCTGCATGGGAAGGCCAGTTATGGAATGCAGCATCCTGCAAAAAGGAATGAGAGTAGTCGGATAAGTCCTGACCTTCTTCAGCAAAAGAAACATTGCAGCGGGTATTTGCAAAATGGTGGGATAAAACGCACTTTTAGTGATCCTTCTTTGTACGGACTTCACCAGAACAAGAAGCGTAAACAAGATGAAGAAGCAAAAAGCTCATTCGCTGTCAGCAACCAAGCAGGTGCTTCTAATTCATGCAATGAGAAGAATGTTGTGGATTTTGGAACAGAACAAAATACAGCTTCAGTTCTTATACAGTCTTTAAGATGCAACTCTGGTGCTTCAAAATCTTCTCCAGCTCCCCAGATTCAGAATGAACAAGGGGGTGAAAATAGTAACTGCCACAACAGGGACTTTGACATGGCATATAAGAACAAGGCAGCTACAATGCCTAATGGTGCTATAGTTTCTGCCTCTTCCATGAGAGACATGCATGGTGAATTCCTGGAAAAAAAAGTGTCTCAGTATAATCCAGAACATGTTTTCAGTGGAATGCAGACAACTACATCTTTTACAAATGCCATAAACACTCGGGCTAGTAATGTGTTGACATGTGGCACATCACATTTACTGCATACCTCAGGGCAGATAAGTTCCGCTCAAACCTCAAACTCTGAGCTGCCTCAGGTACTGGCTTCTGTAGCTACTGAAGTCCAAAATATAGAAAACTCCAGTAAAAGATCGATTTTACAAGCAAGCTCCAATTTTCATCATTCGGAAGTAATGAACTCAGAGCAGCAAAAGTCAGAAAATACCTACCAGTCACCTACAAACAACCATGAAGTTTCAGAAAACACAGGGCAGGTTCCCAGTCAGGATTTCTCACTCAATCCTAACAACAATCTGAAGACTCATAGTAGCTCAGAGATTTTGTCACAACCAAGAGAAGAAACTGGTGCTTCCTTCCAACAAGATCCCGTGTTCAGGAATGGTTCTTTTAATCTACCCCCTATTGCACTACCTTCTCCTGGGCAGGAAATAAGAAGTGTGCTCTCCATTGAGGCTTCAGAAGATCCTAGTAATATTTTCAATTTGACAGAAGAAAATAATAGAGGGCAAGCACATCATCAGAGAGAACATGCAAAAACAATTTCTAGCTTTTGCCAACAAACTCTTAGTTCTCAACAGGGTCATCAATACAAAATTCAGGTTTCACAAGCAACTGGGAATAAAACAGATATAGATCTCAGTACAGTGATATTGGGTATGAAGCAGCAAGATCCTAGTGAAATTCAATCCAAACTGGAGTCTAAAATTCAGGATCCACAAAGATTAGGAACCAATAAAGAATTGCAACATTTTCCACATCTTCTGAATCAGGTTAATCAGCAGACTTCTCTTGATAATGAAAAAGGTCTGGTGAAAAATCACTTGGAGCAGTCACAAACCCACTCACAAGCTACTTGGATGAGAATGACTTCTTCTCCCTTTCACCCCAGTGATTCTTCTCCAAAATCAAATGAAACACTTTTGAGGACCATGCTTCAACTCCAGACAAATTCAACTGAGCCGACACATCCAAAACAATATATTAGAGGTTCCAATGAATCAAAAGGAGTCACAGGGCAATCTTGCTACCAGAACATTACAGACAGTGAACAAATACCAGCATTATTTAAAAGGGAGGCAACACAACCGCCTCATCATTTTACTCCTGATTTGCAAATTCCATTTGAAAAGCACTCACCACAATCCAAAAGGATGAATAATCAGCAACAAAATTCAACTCACTTTCACCTTCAATCACAATCTGAACTCCACCTTGAACAGACTTTGGAGGCACAGTTAAAGCCTCAGCATTCAGATCTTCCATTTGAGGATGACCAATTTATACATTCACAAATTTTGCCCCCAATACTCCAGACTCAGCCAATACAACCACCACAGAATTCACAAGTAACAATGAACTCTCCACAACAAATAAAAACCACAAAATTGTCCCAAATCTTTCCCCAGTCAAGCAACAGCCAAGAAGAGCAAGGGGAAAGAACGTCCTTAAATCATCTTAAATTAGAAGAGTGCTTTGAAGTAGCAAGTAATTACTTCAAATCAGTTGAGTTCCCAATACAAATTCCCCAGACCAGAGTGGACCATATTTCAAATACAGCCAACAAAAACTCCCATTATAACCAGACAAATAATGTAATGAAACATTCCTGTGCAAACAACATGCACTTGGTTTCTGAGAAAAAGGAAGATACCTTAATTCAAAATATATCTCGCAACTTGCAGCACATGGAATATTATCCAAATAGTGTAACTCCTAAACAAGATCTGTCCCAGGGCTTTCAGGAACAAAAACCTCCATCTCCACCAACTTCATTTATACAGGTGCCCTTCCAGCAAACCCAAGAATATTCTAACATGACTACCAACGTGGATAACTCACAAGCTAGTCAGATTCAACAAAATTACTCACCCTATAATCAGCAAGCAGCATCCCATGCAATAGATCAGAGCCATGGTCACTATCTTCCCTCACAACCTCACAAAGAGTTTCAAAAGCATGCTGCTATTAGATGGCATATTTTGAATAAACAAGCTAACCAAAATAAATCTGTGTCATGTCAAGCTATGGGCTTCAAATCTATCAAAACTGAAACTGGCACAAAGGTGAATGCTTGCCTTCCTCTACCGGTTGGACAGTTGGAAAACAAACCATGGAAGAAAACAATTAAACAAGAGGTTCAGCACTTTGGTTGTGAGAACATGCAACAAAAGAGTATAATTGAAACCATGGAGCAGCAGTTGAAACAGATTCAGGTCAAAACACCTTTTGATCACAAGTCCCTTACTATCAAATCGCCCAAACATGTGAAAATTGAGGCTGCAGGACCCGTTACTATTCTGACAAGGGATTCTAATGGTGCAGATTTCAACAGCCATGACATCTCTTTAGATCAACAAGCCATTCATTCTAATGAAAAAACACCAACCAAAAGAAGTGCTGGAACCATGCTCAATAATTTCTTAGAGTCGCCTTCTTCATTACTAGATACACCTTTAAAAAACTTGCTGGATACACCTGTCAAAACTCAGTATGATTTTCCTTCATGTAGCTGTGTGGGTAAGTTTTGATTGCTATAGTTTACAAAATAAATACTATAAATGTTGCCTATTCATTATACCGTAGTTTATTCAGAAAGGCTAGGCTTCCCCAGTTTGGAATCCTTTAAATATGTTGTTAAGAAACATCATGCTGTAGAACAGAAACTATTACCAAACCTTACAGATATTTTATTTGTCCTCACCCTTCACCTTGAATATTTAGATATACAGTATAGATTATACCAAAGCTATGTGGTATAAAACTTTTAAAACATATCTATTAATCTTTTTATTTCTTTTTTGTTCTAAACAGAACAGATAATTGAAAAAGACGAGGGGCCTTTCTATACTCACCTAGGAGCTGGTCCTAATGTCGCTGCTATTAGAGAAATAATGGAAGAAAGGTAATGAATTAGAAAAGCATGCAGCAGATTAAGATGCAGACTTTTGCATGTCAGAATTTCTTCAAGTCTGTGCACATAAATAACATCATCATTGCAAACCATTATCATTATTGCTAGGTTGTCTATTCTAATGTTAACAATCCTGGGCAGAGTCTGTTCAGTGAAGAGTCACAATATTGGACAGCTCTCCAGGTAGATGCCAGCAAATGCTGATATGAACAAGCATTCATTGGTCTGCTGAATAAGGTGGATAGCAACTGGATAATGAAATCAGTGGTCAATCTTGAATGCATAGCATAGGCACTTTAAGAAATTTCTCTGTTGAATCACAACAAAATACAAACTGTGATTTTTCTATTAATTTTGATTAAGAAATGAGGTTAATCAATTAAATGTTCATAGGTATAAATTTCAAGTCCAGATTGAAAACTCATTAATCAGTAACACACACACACAAATACACAAACGTACACTTTACACAGTAGTATTCTGCCATACAGAGTTCAAGTAACAATGGCAGTGCTTGTATAAAACCTGTCTCATTTATTACAGCCTTTTCCAACTAGTGTACCCTCTATATGTGATGAGCTATTTGCCAGTTCACCAGCCACTGTGGCCATTGATAATATTTCTGGGAGTTGAATTTTACATACCTGGAAAATTACTAGGTTGTATTAAGCTCAAATGAATTCTGGATCCTTGCTGTTGTTTTCGTTGCAATACAAATTTTTCCATACTTTTGGAGAAGCTGCATTTGCCTGATTAAACATAAACTCAATTGATCTTCAACAAACAAACAAAAATGTAATTGTTCTTTTAAAAATATAAATATAAATTTAGTAAAAACTCAAAACTTTTTCATGTTACAAATATGAAGCAAAATTAACTTTCCTCATTAAAATTACACTTCAAATATTTTGGTTTGGTTTGGCTTGGCTTGGCTTGGCTTGGCTTGGTCTGGTTTGATTTGGATTTGCCTTAAAATCTGGACCAAGCTAATTAAATGCTATAGATAGTAAATAATCTCAATACAAGAAAGGATTTCAAGTCATAAGGTAAAAGCTTCCAGTGTTCCTACATAGTTGTGTTTACAGTTATATGAAATTCATGTTTTTATATTTACTCATTTCATGATTTGATTTTTTAAAAGATATGGACAAAAGGGCAAAGCCATAAGAATAGAAAAAATTGTCTACACAGGGAAAGAAGGCAGAAGTGCTCAAGGATGCCCTATAGCTAAATGGGTAAGAATTATCTCCACAACCTTATAAAAGATATTGTTCATCTTTATAGATATAATTAGTGCATGCTGACTCAAATAAATCTTATTTATATTTTTTTTAAATCATGGAAGTTAACTGGGGATATATTTTAAATAAAATATGACATATTAATTACAGTTCTATCTTAGAAATTTTACAGAAAGTGTAGACCAGGGTGAAATTATGTCTTATGCACATAAATCCTTTAAAAATCTGTGGATCTGCAATCTCAGTATGTTATATCTTTTTAAAATATGCTAGATTTATTCTATCTTGCCTTTCCAAATCTGTTAGTAAAATTTGAAACAGCTCACAGACCTAAAGTTGGAATGAAATTCCCAGTTCCACAGTTCATAAATTGATGCTACTATTTTTTTTATCATTCTTACCTTTTAATATATAATTGGGTAGAAGATATAATGATGGGCAATTAATCCATCTAGTCCATTGTCTTTCCTAGCTCATAGTAGCTCTTTCAAGTTGTAGACAGATTATTATCCAATCCTGCTTTGAACATTTCTACAAGGAAAGATACTGCAAGCTGAACCAAAGAACTATGGTATGCAAAAGATATACAGAAATCTAGTTTACCAAAAACAGCACAAAAGCATAATGTGGCCTGTTAACCTGAAATTCCATAATTTTTTACAGGAAAAAAATATTTTTGGTATACTTTCAGGTGATTCGTCGAAGTGGAACTGAAGAAAAACTTCTTTGTTTAGTGCGAGAACGTGCAGGCCACAGTTGTGAAACAGCTGTGATAGTTGTACTTATCTTAGTGTGGGAAGGCATATCTCAGAGCCTAGCAGACAAGCTGTACTCTGAATTGTCTGACACTTTAATGAAGTACGGCACACTCACAAACCGGCGGTGTGCACTCAATGAAGAGTAAGTTAAGTATGTACTTCCTTCCCCTCTAGAAAGTATTTTTTTCTATAGTTTAGATATATACGAAACTACTAGAATGTAGTTTCCCCATTCTAGCATACAATAAATATGTTCAGACTGCAACTCCTAATATTCCTAAACAGCATGGCCAGATTGGCAGATTAATTACAGATCTGGGTCCTCCTTTCACTGTAAAAGCAGGGTAAGTAAGTATATGTAGTGCTCAACTTACAACTGGTCACTTAGTGACTATTCAGATTTACAACAGACCCTCCAAAAAGTATGTACAACCTGGTTCCAAAGTTCCGATGGCCCACTCCCCCCCCCCCCCGCAGTCATGTGACTGCATGACAGGCATTTAACAATGGGCCCACATTTATAGACATTTGTAATATCTCACAGTACATGACCACAATTAACAATGTTTTTGCCGAAAACCAGTATTTACTTTTGGCAAAAACACTCCATGGCAAACAATGGGTTCACTTAACAATTGTTGCCCCCCAAAATCATAAAATTGGATTAATCATGTGATGACTGCTTTATGACCATCATGACCTATAACCATAGTGGGCAAGCTTCATTAAAGTCATAAGTTGAGGATTACCTGTAGCCTTACAAAAGCTGAAAATCGTTTACAACCATTCAGTGAATGGAAAAACTGTCTCGTTTGAAAAACTCATATTTCATTCATTTTATGATCAATCCTATTCTGTTTTATCTCAACAGCAGTGTAGTGGATTATACCCAGTTTGACTGTGTAATAATAACAGGCATGCCCAGTACATGAGAGGAATCTAATGTCATACTTGCTACATATACAAAATACCTCACATAGTTCTTGTGAGGGGAAAATAGGCCTTATACTACACTTAGATACTAATCTTACTAGCTCTTTTCTTAGTGGTTAAATGAACGAAGTTAAATGTTCTTTCACAGTGGAAGATCTGTATTTCTGCTGTTTCTTTTCCATATTTTCTTTAATTATTTACAGGGTTTATTTTTTCTCTTATAGAAATGCCTTCAATATATTGCATGTAAAGTTGCATCTAAATCAACCTCAATATATTTTCAGAGGTATATCCTGCTTAATGACATAATTTTAATATATTTAAATAACATTTTTATTCAAATTATCTCTCCATGTATCCTGTAATGAGACACAGTACTGAATTCTCAAAGGCATCACCACCATCATCTTTCTAGTAGCAGTAAACCATTTTATTACCAAAATTGCTGTGGTGTAACAATAACAGTATCACATGAACTGATTCATAGGAATGCCTGATAGTGTTGAATTTTTTATATATTACATTGGAACTGGTATAGATTAGCCTTTCCACAAATATAAATGCTCTGCTGCTACTTAAAAAATCCTTTGATCAGCAAGATAAAAGACTACAGTGGGTTATGGGGAATTCCCCTTCCATCTCTTGGAACCTGTGTGTTCCCATCCATGTTTCTAGATGATTCTCTGGTCCTTTTTTGTACATCTTAGAGCTGAAAATCTTGAGGGGAAAGAAGGAATTTCATTTTTCAATAGGAGTGACAAATTTGACAAAGCATTCATTCATTGTTTCATTTAGATCAGGGTTGGGGAACTATGGCCATTTTATAACTTGTGGACTTCATTTCCCAGTATTCCTGAGCCAGCCATGTTCAGCTCAGGAATTCTGGTAGCTGAAGTCCACAAGTCATAAAGAGGCCATAGCTCCCCACCTCTGATTTTGAAGTATATCCTGCTTTTACTTCAGGCTCTCTCCTTCCATTTTCTCCACAATAGTAACACTGTACATACATTCGGCAAAAAAATGACTGGTGCAGAGTTACCCAGATAGCTTCCATGACTGAGGTGGAGGTGAATCTGTGCCTCAGCATGCCTAGCACAGCCTGTTCACCACTATACTACACTGGCTCTTATTTAATTTAAAACATCTACATTTCAACAGTAATCAAAAGCTGATAAAGAAACTGCTTTAAAATAACTATGGTATATTGGCAGTACACTGATAACCCTTCTATATTTTCTTTCCTTAGACGAACCTGTGCGTGCCAAGGTCTAGATCCTGAGACTTGTGGTGCTTCTTTTTCTTTTGGTTGTTCATGGAGTATGTACTATAATGGTTGCAAATTTGCCAGAAGCAAGATTCCAAGAAAGTTTAAACTATTAGGCGATGATCCAAAAGAGGTAGGGTTGTCCTTCAATTATTTTTCCTGTCAGTCTGATAGAGAGACAGAGACAGAGAGAGAAAGAAAAAGAAAAAGACATTAATTATAATGATGAGATTCAGTACAAAAAGTCTGGCAATGTCAACAGTCCATTTTTGTTTTATTTAGTCTGGGTATTAGGCTTCAACTCTGTATTTTTTGTTGTTTTAATTTGTAAGTTTTAAACATTGCTCTTCTATATAAAGAATTCCAAGAACTGAAACAATAAATCGGTTGGATCAGTTTGGTTTAATATGGAATCATATTATTTACAGTTCAAATAAACATATTCAAACCCTCTTTCAATACAGGTATTTTCAATTTTTCATTCCTGACAGATGCCGATTCACACCTTGCTTAAATACGACTAGTGGATATTCCATTATTTCCCAAGCCAATATTGCTGAACATTTCTTCTAATTTTAAGCCAAAATCTACTCTCCTGCAGTTTCTGTTCACTAATTCTATTGCTTTTTAGAACAACAGAAGAAAAACCCTTCATTATTTATACCAAAGACCTTCAGATGTTTGAAAATGGCTATCATTTTGCCCCATGCTCTTCTTGGGAAATAGTTTTATGATCTGTTGAATTACAATACACTGAATGAAATAACCATAAGTGTTTTCAGAATTAAAGCTATTACCTGTTAATGAGTGAAGTTTTTTTAAAAAAAAAATAGGAAGAAAAGCTAGAATCCAATCTGCAAACTTTGTCAACTCTGATGGCACCCACTTACAAGAAACTAGCACCTGATGCATATAGCAACCAGGTAAGTAAAGAAAAACAGAAATGTTTGGCAACAATACTAAGATTCATCACTTTATTTTGCCAATGTATAAGTCTCCCAAGGTTTTGAAAGAAACAACTGCACTTAGAAAGTAGAATTTATTTATGAGGCTACATATTTATTATTTGACATTAATATGAAAGAATTAGAAATCAACAAAAATTAATTTGTTTTGTTTCTGGCTACTATGGTGTCTCTGAAAATGCATTATTATGTCAGAGAGAAAAAATATATTTCTTTTCACCTTTTATGATGGAATTCACACTGATGAACCATGGCTTGTTAAAGCAGCACAGTTGCATGGTGTACATATAATAAAAACATTATTTTCAAGTCACAAGGACTGGGTTTATACCAAAACTAAGTAAATTATTGTCCTAGCTGATGTATAAGCCCAAGATGTTAAAATTGGAAATATCCATACATGCAACCCTATGGTTCTATGATTTAGCACCTAGTATCAAATTAACACTGCATGATTGGTTTGCTATCATTGGAACTGTATTAGAAAGAAAGGAACATTAGATTAGTCTTCCTTGGTGTATAATAATCAAAGTGTGAAGACCTTCCAGTTCTGATCTGAAGGGAGAATTTGAAACAGAGACTTCTGCAAGGGGAAAAGGGCAAGAAACAGAATATGCATCACCACATTATAGTCCAAGCTCTTCTCCTTAATAATATAACAATATTTAATCATTTTGACACCACTGTGGTTAGGAATGGAGGAAATATGCATATTTCTCTGTTTCTGTTGCTGAGGGTATTTCAAATTGGGTCTTTCAGGAATATAAGGTATAGGTAAGGCCACAAACTAAACATATTGTTTGTCTCCACAGTTAATTTCTGACTCTTGCAAATATGTTGAAACTAGAATTCCCAAAATTCCCTATTTGCAATGGGGATTTTTTTTTTATTGTAAAATGCTGAGAACAAAAAGAGGAATTTCTTCCAATATCTCATTTTATGATTTTTGGGGGAATGTGTAAATGACTGTTGCTGATGAGGTATCTGTCATTATGAAAGGGAGAGAAAATTAATAGATGAAATTAAGAAGTGTACTACAGCCTATCATCCTCTCCTAATAATTTTAGACCAATGAGCAGTGCTAATTTCAAACTACAGTATCATTCCCACCTTGGATATTGCCCTGTGGTGTTGCAACTTCAGAACTTAAAAAGTCTATTTGTAAGAGCTATTTGGTAACATGCAGTTTTAAAATGTTGGTGAATTAAATAATATAAATATGTCTGTGCCTAGATTGAATATGAACACAGAGCTCCTGAATGTCGTCTGGGTTTAAAAGAAGGTCGTCCATTCTCAGGGGTCACTGCCTGCCTGGATTTTTGTGCTCATTCTCATAGAGACCTACACAATATGCAGAATGGTAGTACATTGGTAAGTCAGTGATTCAACAAGCCATTATTGTGCAAAACTAACTTCTTGCATTAAGTTCATTATTTTTCATAATTTATATTTCTATTAAGCTGGCACATGATGTCTACCAAGGAAATATGTGAAATATTGGATCAGTAAGAATGCAAATCCTCTAGGCTTTTAGTTTTTTAAAAATGAGATTCTCAAGGTTGATTCGTAAATTCCTTGCTCCTATTTGTCTTGTTCTTTTTTTTAGTACAGTGAAATAAAGTAATTCTTGGAAACTTTAATATATGTAGTTTTAATTGGCCTGTGAATGCAGAATCTGTTTTAGAAATGTATGCACAGAAATTTTGCTGTAAAGTTAGGGCATTTTTTTCAAACTTACAAGATTGAAGTCCTTTGAAAGAAATTCCATGTGCTCATCAAGAACATGTTCTCTACAGTCATGTGTTCATCCCATCTGTCATATATCCCTTTGGAGATCCAGCCTGATGTAGCAGTTAAGGCATCAGACTAGAAACTGGGAAAGTGTGAGTTCTAGTTTCATCTTAGGTACAAAACCAGCTCGGTGATCTTAGGCACTTTCATCTTAGAAAGAGGCAATGGCAAACCACTTCTAAAAAATCTTGTCAAGAAAACTGCAGGAACTTATCCAGGCAACCTCCAAGATACTTGTTTGGACAGAAGAAAAAAATAATCTGTTTTATCTGTTGTCTTTCCTTCCCCTTTTCACCTCAACTTTGCCACACATGTCCTTTTTTGCTAATTTTTGCTAATTACATCTCATGCCTAGCATTTATGGCTTTCTGTTTGCTGATGATTGCCTCAAGGGAGCAATCAGGGTATATTTTCTCAAGAGTTGATTTATTCTTTTTAAACTCTATTGTATTCTTAGTAAGTACTCCAAATCCATAATCCAAAGGATTTTTCTTACTGTTTCTTACTGTTCACCTTTCAGAGTCATACATTATATTAGACCAGGGGTGTCAAACTGCCGGCCCACAGGCTGGTTGCATCATGCGGAGGCCACACCCACCCCAGTTTCGGCAATGCAAAAAAAAGTCGCAATACATCGCGACACATCACGTGACGCGGTGAGTTTGACACCCGTGTACTAGACCATCCCTTTAGCTATTCTGATCTTTTTTGCCATACAAACAGCCTTATCTTTCATAACCTTGTCATTGCCTTCCTCTCTAGGATTAATATGCTCTTTACTTCTTCACTGTACTATACATCTATATGTATTCTTGAACCCAAGAAAACAAAACAAAACAAAAACCTATCTACTATCTTCGCTTCTTCACATCAACTATAAGTTCATTCTGGTTAACACTATTTTTGCTTTTCTAATATTTAACATTAATTCAAATATTTTGCTTTCTACTTTTACTTTCATAATGGCTCTTCTGCATCTTTCTTATTTGGGCTGACAAAGTGCTATCATCTGTATGTCTCATTTTTTATCATCAATTTTTATTTCACAGATGTATCTTCTGTATCTTTTTTCCTATATTATTCAGCATTTTTCTTTTGTCCTCATTTTATGCAGCAATCATTCTCTTATATGCATATTTTCCTGTTCTATTCTATTCTATTCCATTCCATTCCATTCCATACTTCTGATCTATTAAGTGTATAACATACTTTCTTTTCCTAAAGTCGTTCTATTTTCACTTAGTTTCATGTCTTCTTTTTCTTCCATGCCCATTTGCCCCATGATCTATTCTTGATATTGTCAAAATATGGTTCATCCCACATTTAGAACCTCTTATCAGTTTTAGAGGTAGAGGACAGGAAGACCTGGAGGAACATTGTCCATGGGGTCGCGATGGGTCGGACACGACTTCGCAATTAACAACAACATCAGTTTTATATCCTTCTCTCTCTCAATTTTTTATCATAAGCAATCACATCATTGACACTTTTAGATTTACAGTCATTCCTCTACAATGTATACCCAGACATATGCTGGTCACATTTATGAAACAAACTGATCTTTTTAAAAACTCATACTACCAAATAGACACTATTATTTATTTTTGAGTCCCTGAATAACCCTATTTTTTTCTACATTTTCTTATCTTGTATTATCCATTTATTTCTCACCAATTTCGTCTGGATTCTATTTATCTAGAATTTTTCCAAAATCCATATTTGATTCTTTGACTATTATCATTTATTTTCACCAGCCTATAGATTCATATTTTCATATATACAACAATCTAGATGAATTACACTTTGACACAAATTTTTGCTTTTATTCCTAATTAAGCCTATAGCTTCATTTCTCTGCATATATCAACTTTGATCCACAAAATCAAACTTTCTTCTTTCAGATCAATTACATCCTTCCCCCATTCTCTCAGTTTTATAGACATACAATATGTCTATGCCATAGTTATTATTTGTTGGGATCATATATGCTGATCTCTACTGCCATTTGATCTTTAATTAAAGCTTTCACATAACATTTTTAGTTAAATGGAGAATGTATAGTCAAGGTTATTTTAGTCATATCTATTTCTTGTACAGTATTCTCTACTAATGGTAATGAACGTAATCAACCATAGCTGAAGCCCTATCGTAGGCCAACCTTGTTTACTCCATTACATGCAAACTATAATCTCTGTCATGTAGAGACTACTTTATAAACCAGCACCTTATTGTATGCATTGTATCAACATTTAATACATTTTGTATTTGATTCAGAATTGTAGTGTCTTCTATCATTGTAGTAAACACACATTTAATTAAGTATTAACAAGGCCCATTCTGATCCACATTTCTAAAATATCCAATTTGATATGCTTAATTTCCACAGGCAATTCTGCAATATTTCCTCAGTTAATACTTCTTTTGTTATATGTTCCAGTTGTATGTGTCATTCTAAAAAGAGGAATTCAGTACCAGCACTTGAAATAATCAGACTTCCTTGGTATGGCCATGTTGTTATTTCTAGGCCTACTCATGAAACTTCATTCTTCCCATTAAGGAATTATTCTGACCTGGCTATTTCATTATCTGGTATCTAAATTTCTCCATACAATTTTCTCAGAAGCCATATAGAAGTGGTTTGCCATTTCCTTCTTTCAGCTTTGTTTTCAGTTCCTTCTCTTAGGTGGGCTGGCTAAGGTTAAATTGGCTATTTCCCAAGGCAAACCTAAAAGGAATACAGTACTGATCTCTTGAGCATGAGTGCCAATGAAGATTGGTTGCTAGGTATATTCCCAAAGTTCTATTTCTGGATTGGTCAACAAATTTGAAATCTTGCAGCCAATCATTCTCTCACTGATTGACATATTCTAACTTTTTTTCTGTATTAACAGAACTACCAGCTTAGCATTTAATAGGATTAAACACAAAAGACCATACTCTCTTCAGCAATGATTAGCAACCTGTATGCTGATGTGAATGTGTATGTGAAGATGTACACCTCATGTAAAATTCCTTTTTTTTTCAATTTTAACATATATGGACATATCAATATTTAATCTTCATTCAAGCAGCATATAAAAATAAAGGTGATGCAACTGAAGAAAAATATGAAAATTTGACTTTATTATTTATTTAATTTATTATTTGCAATTGTTTATTCAACAAAAAAGATGCCATTTACTTCTGTAGAAAAATGAAGTTGGTTCTAATACCTGATATTTGGAAGAAACAACCCAAGTTGCAGTTTGTTATAAATGACAACAAGTCTCTGACATCAATTGGGGAGGAGACTTCTGTTCCTCCATGCAGAATTTTTTCCATTGTGCAATATTTGAGGGACTTCTTGCATGAATATCCCATTTCAAATCACCTCACAGATATTAGAGGGATTTAGATCTGGGCTTTGGCTTGACTATTCCAGAATTCTTAATTTCTCTATTATTCAGCCATTCCTTGTGGATTTACTCACTAATATTTTCTCAAAGCTGTGTCATCAGTTCATGGATTTCATCACTGGAACTTTTATTTCTCAGGAATATTAGGTGTTTCTAACATGAAAAAGATGCCAAAGACTTTATTTTGTACAAACTTACATAATGCACAAATAATAGTGAATACAGGGGAAAAAAATGTTGACAAAATGGAGCCCACAGTGCCCCTAGGTGGCGCTCACTGACCTCTAAATGTTTTGGGGTTTTTTAAAGGAAAAAAGTAATAAAAATGATGGAATTTTCTAGAGAGCAATCCCACAAAACATTCTTGCATGATCTACATTATTTTAAATTGTTAGATTTTTAAAGATTTTTTTTAATGGGTTACTGATCCCTGAGGAAATGGAAACTATTCAAAAATAGAATATTTGTGGTTTAAAAAATTCATGTTTAATTTAGCTTGACAAGCTGCTTCTCAGAAAAAAATTAGCACTATGTGACTTTAAGGTCATGATCAAATTTGTTTGTAGGCCAAGTTTAACCTCATTTGTCAGTCGAAATGTGTCTTCCATCATATTATTTTAACAGGTCTGCACACTAACCAGAGAAGACAATCGTGAAATTGGCCAAACACCAGAAGATGAACAATTGCATGTGCTACCCTTGTATAAAATATCCAGTGTAGATGAATTTGGAAGCACAGAAGGCCAGGAAGAAAAAAAGCGAAATGGTAGCATCCAGGTTCTTAGTTCTTTTCGACGAAAAGTAAGGATGCTGGCTGAACCTGTGAAAACCTGTCGGCAAAAAAAGTTGGAAGCCAAGAAAGCAGCAACAGAGAAGCTGGCCTCCATGGAGAATGGGCCTAACAAACATGAGAGAGAAAAATCAGCCTCAGCACGTCAAAAGCAGCTCAATGCAGAAGTGCCAGCTCATGGCAAGCGATTAGCAGGTATGTTTTTAGTAGGCATTAGTTATGATTTCAGCTCTGTCATATGTACCATATGGACTATTTGTACTATGAACATGAGAGATATGAGACAGGATCACACTGTGACAAAAAACTTACTTAACATACATACTGATGGGGTCCCAACTAACCAAGAAAAATGATTTTGGGATCACTGTTGAATGAAAATAATGTCACAAAATGTAGCAGCTTTGAAAAACAAATCTATGCTAGGGATTATCATAAAACGACTGAAGATAAAACTGGCAAACAACATCATAGTACCTTTACACAAATTTGTGACTCATAACTGAAAAAGTATATAATATTTGGGGGGAAATGCAGACAAGAACAAGCAATCAATACCATCAAATTAAGTGTAAAGTGTAAAAGTATAGCGTGGAGATGATCTGAAGCAGCGGCAATGCAGCACAGGCCTGTGGGAGAGTCAGCTGGAGCCGCAGTGTTTCCAGGGCTCTGCTGAGGACCCAGGATCCATGTCCGGCTCCAGCTGATTGGCGCACGGCTCCAGCTGACTGGTGCTTCCAAAATCTGCACACAGTCTGGGGAAAGGAGTCAGTTGCAACTACACCAAAGACAAAATGAGGAGGGAGAGAGAGGAGAGGATATAAAATAAACATGCCTGCCAAGTGTGTACATTTGGCCTGGGGCCACCCTGGAGAAAATGAGGGATTGGCCTATCCCAGCCTGCAATCAAAGGAGACACAGTTGCAGCTCCTCGCCATAGCTGGGTCAGAAGACTGCCCAACTTCACTCCGGAATTTTGGGGTTAAAAAGCAGAGGGGAAGCACTGCATATGCCGGCCTGGGGGGAAGTCTCCTTCTCCCCCACAGGAAAGTCTCCTGCCCCCCCCCCCCACAGCTACCTCCTTCAGAGCCCGAAGGGCCTTAGCCATGCTTTGCAGGATGAAGCGGGCAAACGTATGCTGGCAAGCCTGTTGGGATTAGGAAGGCTCCAAAGGAGGTAGCTGCAGGGGGGGAGCAGGAAGGTTTCCACCAGGTGCCACCAGGCCTGCAAACGCAGCGCTGCTCCTCCACTTTCCAACCCCAAAATCCCGGAGTGAAGTTGGGCAACCTCTAAGCACCCCTGAGAAACTGCATATCTGCTGTAGTCTTGGCTGCTGCCCCCCTTCCTTTGCAGGGTGAGGCTTAAGCATGCAGCCTTTAGTCGGGGCTGCCAGCATGGCGGCGGGCCGGAGCACCAGGTGAGCGTTGGTTTGCAGGATGAAGCGGATGGAGATACTTGCAAGTCCTGCCCCAACTATGACAAGGAGCTGCAACTGCATCTGTGCCATAGGGCTGAGGAGAAGAAACCAGAGGGGTGCAATGGCTGGGCTGGCTTCTGGCCCGCTGGGTTCTTCAATCCCCTTCCTATTAAGAGTTCTTTAATAAGATTTGCTCTTCCAAGATCAATAAAGGTGGTTTTTCCAAAAAATATGTGAAGAGCTGTAATTAGTGATTTAACTATATTTTCTTTTTGGCTGTGTTTTAATTTATATATAATGTATGTTTAATTGAGAAGGGCTTGGAGAGGTAGAACTGGTCAATATGGAGGCTGCACCTTGCCCTCCAAATCTCTGTCTCCCCTGCAGATCTCTGGAGAGGAGGAGTCAGTGGCAGAGAAAGGGAAGGCTGCCCCAACAAGCCAGCATCCTTACCATACATGATTGGAAATGGGAATTCCCTTTCGAGAAGGGCCAGCCTCCCTTGTGTAGGACCTGGGAGTGCTGCTCCCCTGCCACCTCCTCTTGCTCTCCAGAGATCTGTCAAGACAGAAGTTGGACTCGGAGGAAACTGCTTCCTGTAAACATTCTCCACCTCCTTTTTTGCCGGGAGGGGGCACCGGACAGGGAAACACCAACAATGTCTGGGATTGGGAAAAGAACATCTCTTTAGCGTGCTGTCACACACACACACACACACACACACACACACACAAAAACATTCCAAGCTTGGAGACTTGTATCCACATCTGAGCTAGCAAATTGCTAATCATGCCTGGGCTTGGGGAGAAGGCCCTCTTCTTCCTCTGTGAATAAAAGTCCCCAAACCTGGAATGTGGTGTATGTGCTTGTGTTTGCCTGCGTGCATGTGCTTGGCTGATAACAGTTTGGGGAGGTGAGGCGTTTGTGGGGCACCGAGTTGTCCCCATATCGAGTTAGCTGGTGCGACTTGTTCTGTCTTGAGTCAGCTGTGTCCAGTGAGTGGCATTGAGCAGGCCATGCCCACCTTAGGCGACTGGTGGTACTCGAATATCGCCATATCCTGAAAGTGGTACAATCTCTAAAAAGTTGAAAAGCCCTGCTCTAGATAAAGGGCTTTGAATACTTGTTTCAGACAAGTACCTGTATTAGTTTTCACGCCTGCTTCCAAGTCCTCATAAGATATCTGGGAAACAAAATGGTGGCAACATTTGGGCCTTGGTCTGATTCATCAAGGCTATTTTAATTTCAGAGAGGAAAAATGCCAATAACATTCATATTTTATCTAATTTCCCATATCTCATATTTGTGGCATAATTCAATTGCATAAACATCTTCCTTGAAAAGTAGAATGGGCAACATCTTTCCATAATTGAATTAATTCTATACAAATGACAAATATTTTTTCCAACCTTAAAGTTCTTTCCTTCTCTTCCTTGTGCACAGATCTTTTGCATCTTTCTGGACCAGCTGTGCCACAACAGCAACTTTACCAACATCCATGCCAGGCTTTCTCTTCTAAACATCAGTCAAACCATGGCAATTTATACTCTGCTTCTGATTCTACCAATCTCTATATGAGTCTATCTAATCCAGCTAATTCATATTCAAACTGTACACATCCTTCCAATCCTTATGGAGGATCCAATCCAATGAATATCTACCAGACTTCATCACAACCTACAGGAACTTATTTGAATTCTTCCGGCCTCATAAATCCCTATTCTATTCATTTAGGTCAAAATAACCAGTATCCTCATTATCCATGCAATGGAAGCTTATCAATAGACAATTGTTCTTATTACAATTCCTATTCTGCTCAAACTCAGCATATGGACTTGTTTAGGTATCAGAGCCAAGATTCTCTGTCTAAACTAAGTCTACCTCCAATACATACATTGTATCAGCATAGGATTGGAAATAATCAGAACTTTGGGCACAGGTACTTGAATTATGGAAACCAAAATGTTCCAGTAGATGCTTTTAACAAATGCGCCTTTAGACCAAATGTTCATCATGCAGGTTCTTTCCCACCTTACTCCCAGCATGAGACTGATAATCCTTTTATGGACATCACCTCCAGGCTGAAATCTAATCTAAATCCAGGTGTGGATTTTATGAATAAAAATGGTGATCATCTGTATCCCCCACCACACCTTACCCATGACTATCATAGTATGTTCAATGGCTCTTCTCATTCACTCCATCTCCAGAACAAGAATAGTCAGGTAGCTAATGGGTTGTCAAACCTCTTTCCAGATTTTAACCATAACAGAACAGCTTCTGAAGTAGGTGCAAATAAAACAGAGGTGCTCAATGCAGAGGATCCTGATGATGTCTGGTCAGACAATGAGCAAAGTTTTCTGGATCCAGAAATAGGTGGTGTTGCAGTGGCCCCATCCCATGGATCAATCCTCATAGAGTGTGCTAAACGTGAACTCCACGCTACAACCCCATTGAAAAATCCTAACAGGAATCACCCTACAAGGATATCACTTGTCTTCTATCAACACAAAAGTATGAATGAGCCAAAGCATGGTCTGGCTTTGTGGGAGGCAAAAATGGCTGAGAAGGCAAGAGAAAAAGAAGAAGACTGTGAAAAGTATGGTCCAGATTATGTGCCTCAGAAAGTACATGGCAAAAAAGTAAAACGGGAGCCTGCTGAATTAAACGAGAACCTGGAACCAACCTATTTTAGATTTATCAGGTCCCTTGCACAAAGGACGATGTCTCTTACCACAAATTCCACAGTAACCACATCTCCATATGCCTTTACACGGGTTACAGGGCCTTATAACAGATATATATAAAAGTCACATCTTTGTTTATTACCTCATCCTTTAAAAAAAATCCTCCTATATTAGATAGTATCAGAGCAAGATACAGTATTTTTCTTTTTCATTTGTCATTGAGGAAATCTTCTCCATCCCAGCAAAATAAGTAATTTTACCACTGCATACATATGGAGAGCTGTCAAAAGTAACAATCTGAAATTAAAACCAAAGTATCCTATGCAAAATTAAGAAGACATAACCAGTTAGGACTGAAATACTGCTATTACTACTGGTAAAAAGAATGACCATAATTTTAAAATTGTATATCTATAACCATTGTTTTCAAGAGCAGATTAAGCAAGGGAATGTTTTTGTTTTTAGTAGTGAAAACTCTGTAGTCTTTCTTCTGCAGAACATTTAAGATTCTGCTCGGTGCTCAACTGATGCTATACTGAACTGGTTACTGGAAATGTAGCTTTTTAGCATAGAACATTTTGTTTGTTTTTGTTTGGCTTTATTTTGTTTTGGCTATAATTTTAATATAAATTGATAATAATCAGGATAGCTACACTTATAACAAAAGCACTGAATTTGTTTTGGCTATTCTAAAACATGGTGCTGTATACAAAAATGGTGTCTACTGCAGCATTTAGATAAGTTTTAATGTCTTTTATTAGCACTAGATAAGGTAAAAACAGATCCTGCTCTCTTTAATCTGTAAACAAAACCTTTACATTTGTGTTGACATCGAGTTAATCTGAATTTTTTAAAAAACAAATCAGCTACAACTCATTGTTTAAGCATGGGTGTCCAACCTTTTGGCTTGCCTGGGTCGTATCAAGTGAAAAGGAATTGGTTTCAACTGCATATAAAATATATAATATAGTTATTGTGTATAAATCACATAATGTTAAATGTTTACAATCCTGTGGAGGCACATTACTAGCTGTCCAGCCACGAGTTGGACACACTTGTTTTAAAGCATGAAAATCTGGATGAAACAAGGGCAAGAGCCAACAAAGCTATCATATGAGTACTGCAGGCGGAATGTGTCACTGTGCCAGTGGCAGCTAGAACAACAAAAGCAATAAAGGCAGCTTTTGAGAAATATTTTCCCGGTAACTTAATACCCCATAGAATTGTAAATCAGAAAAGAAACTGGTCTTCTTTTGTTTGCATAAAGCTATTGAAGATAACAATTTTATCTTGATTATCAAGAAAATGCAAGTAAGGCTTTCATGCCGCAGGCCTGAATACTCATTCTGCTACTTCTCCAAGCGAAATAAGCTTTGTTAGATCTCACTAAAATTCGTTCATTTGGCAAAGATCTGATTAAGAGCAGCAAACAATAGAAAAATATTTTGTGAATGGTGCTTGAAGAACTCTTTGGGCTGCCACTGATGAACATTAATCTGGGTGCTAAAACTCCCCAAACATTTACTGTAACATTAAAAGAAACTTATTTGAAGAAATGCATTTAGTATATACATATTAAATTCATGTATTACCCAGTATCACTGGGAGTCAGGTAACATACATTTAATAACTTATTGTTATGATGATTATTAAGAGTAATCTGCAGTTAGAATTGTAGTCTAAGATTGGTGAAAAATTAATTCAAGACTTAATGATGAACTCAAGAATTATTAAGATAGTACCTAAGGATATAGACCAGGACTTCTCAACCAGTGGTATGGGTACCACCTGTGGTACATTGCCACCTGGCAGGTGGTACGCAACCATCCTACAAAAGTGGTAGCAGGGGAGGGGAATGAGCTGAACTGGTGGCAGCACCGCACAAGCCTGAGCGAGAGATGGCTGGAGCTGTAGGGCTGTCAGGGCTCAGCGGAAGCACCAGGATCAGTGCTGCTTTCCAGCTGATCCGTGCTTCTTCAGGACTGTCAGGGCTCAGTGGAAGTGCCAGGATCAGTGCCAGGCTCCAGCTGGAGCTCAGCGCTGATCCTGGTGCTTCTGCTAAGCCCTGAAGAAGCACCAATCAGCTGGAAAGTAGCACTGATCCTGGGGCTTCTGCTGAGCCCAGAAGAAGCACCAATCAGATGGAATGTTGCAGCATTTCCAGGGTCTTGTGATTTACATTCAGATGCTTGGCAACTGATTCATATTTATGATGGTCACAGTGTCCCAGGGTCATGTGAAGTGACCAAAACCTGCTGCAACCACCCAGCAGGCAGAGGGAATAAAAACCAAACACCACCCCCACTGCCAATCCTCAACAGAAATGCTCACAACAATGAAAACCTTGGATAGGAGGAAGAGCGTCGCCGGGTGGCCAGGCAGGTGTCTTGCTCGGCTGTAGCTTGGGGGGGGCACTTTTTTCAGTGCCATTGTAACTTTGAACAGTCACTAAGCAAACTGTTGTAACTCGAGAACTACCTGTACTTTATCACTTTTTTCCTTTTTTTTCTTTTTGGGTCATCAAGTTTTTGACACCCTGATAGGCGATTGGTGGTACTCGGTTGTTGCCATATCCTAAAAGTGGTACAATGGGTGAAAAGGTTGAAAAGCCCTGATATAGACAGTTTTAACAAGGCAGCTTTCTGTAAAAATTAAGATATTCAGGTTCAATAAATTCAAAGTTTCCAAATATTCAGTAAATCCTTTAGGCATGGCTTCAAGGGCTCCAATCATGATTGTTATAACAGCGGATTTTTTTTCCCCCATAAATGTTTGACTTCTATAAGCGTTCAACAAATTACTATTATTGTTATTTAAATCTTTTGATCTTTGGGGCAAATTTATATAAGATGCTTGTAACTCCAAGCAGGAAAAAGTTTTTAAGCCAGTTTTAGGCTGACTGAAATAAACTGAAACCATTGCTCAAACACTTGCTAAAAGAACAGAGAAAGAATAGATCCTTTACTTACTCTGTTCAACCAGAGGAAATGGGATTTAAAAAATAATAAAGCTTCATTTTTTGGTGCTTGTCTCACAAAGGTGTATTGTGAATATTAATTTTAACTATTTTGATGAGAAGCTCTTTCTTGAAATAGCATACATTTTAAGTTTTTAATATATAGTCGCAGATAAAAACATGTTAAACTTGACAATTTTGTCATATGATTTTGAATTACTTTTTAAGGAACCATATCGCTCTAGAGATGATGGTTACTGCTTTATTTAATAATCATGGATTATTTATGTTATGGTATATGACACTGCTCAGTGTTATGTGGCCGTATTTTCTAAGAAATGTTAAGAAGAGTCAACACAAAGAAATACTGTAGGAGCTTTGAAGCTTGGGGAGAATACAGTAGAGGCAGCTGGCTTGCTGTGATGGTTTTTAATTTGGTAATTTGTATAAAAGTGTAAGCAAAACAGATGTATAGTAACTTGTAAACAATTTTAAAGCAATGTTTTAGTATTTTAATAATGTACAAATATATAAATATATATTATATATATATATATATCTATATATATATATGGATTTGGAATTGAATTCACATCATGGTGCTACTTGGCCTGTTCTCTAAAAAAAGTGTGCTAAAACTATCTTCAAATTATGTTTGAATGAAGTTCCTACTTGTCATATACCTCAACTTTACTTGGCAATAGGATTTTAATGGAGACATATAAGGTATTATCATGTTCCCCTGATTTTCCACTTGGCTAATATTTGGGAAAAAGTAATTCTCACTACTTGATAGCAAGTGTAACTTGAATTTTAACACATAGTTTGGTTTTAAAAATTCAGGGATATATCCTCTCACAATTTCCTTAGTAAGCCAATGTATCATCTGTGTATGTGTATGTAAAATTTTATTGTACAGATTGATAAATATTGTTGAACCCTTTTTTAAAATTCTACTTTATTTTTGAGAATCTCAGCTATTTTTTAATTCTGCTTCTAACTTTTACTTGTAAATGTATTGATGGCAAACTTTGCAGAGTAAACCCATTCTTTTTTATGACAATGAAAGTGCATTTTTAATATTGTAAATTCTGTTTGAGGTTTCTTATTTTAACCCCCCTCTCCTTTTGCATGTTACATATAAAATAAACCATAGATTGCACTGAGCTGACAAGAGGACAAGTAGGTATTTGGCAGCTGACCATTTGCAAGGTTGTGCCTTTTCCAAATTCTATAAATATGTTTTTAGCTGGGTTTGCTTTTTCATTTATTGAGTTTTCAAGCCAGAATTTAAAGAACAGAGAGATTCATGGAGAAAAGACTGCAAGAAACTACCAGTCATGACAACTGTAGACTACCTCTAGAGTTGGAGGCAGTATATCTCTGAATATTAGTTGTTGAGACACATTTGGGAAAGAATTATTGGTATTTGTACTCTGCATGCAATATTTTGCATCTGGTTGTCTACTGTGAGAAAAGCATGCTGGACTTATTAACTTTTAGTTTAGCCCAGTTGGTCTTACATTAGGCATAGGCATTTATAGAGTATGGCAGTACAATATACAGTATATACATACATAAGAATGTATGTAAAGGCCCTGATTACTCTTATTTTTTTCACTCAGTATCAAGGGTACATGGGCATACCGTATCTGGGCCGCTGAAATCAGAATAACCACTATATGGCAGCAAGCATTTTTCTGCATGTCCTTGTTTCCATCCAATAAATTATTTTGTCCATAATTTGTGATCCAGACTTTTGCAACCCAGCTACAGTAAGCCTAGAGGAACCTGGTGCCCTTTGGATATTGCTGAGCTTCCACCAAAGCAACTGTAGATCAGCAAAATCTGGAGACGTTCCTCACCCTTATGTTACACAATCAATTTCCCAAAGATATCAGTGGAATTATCAAGTTGCATAAAGAGTAACCTTTACAGGATCAATGCCTTCTCTTTGTTTTTTCTTTAATTGAGTTTTATCTAATTATAATTCTTAATTGATGATGTCATGGTCAAGCATATGCAATGCTACAACTACACAAGTCCACAGCTCTCACTTTAAATATACGAGCCTAATTATATCTTATACAGTCACCCCAAACTGGAGCTCTGAGGTGCATATAGATGCCTTGCTTACATTTTGAAATAACGTAAAGGAAACCTTCTTCCGTTGAATAAATCAGAATTCTCTCTTCACTGTTGTATAAATGTATAAGCATTGTTGTATTGGAGGACTTGTCTATTACATTAATTGAACTTTAGTTATTCTTTACATGGGTCTCTCTACTTAAAGCAATGTTGATTAAAATACAAATCCATACAATACAGGTAGTCCTGCTTACCGACCATTTTGTTTAGCAATCATTCAAAACTGTAGCCATTGAAGGATCCATGTGATTGCTGTTCAGGTGCTTCAATACCAGCATACATTTATGACTCTTGTAGTATCCCACAGTCTCATGATTTTCATTTGCGAATTTCACAATTGGCTTTCACCATGGCATTTACGGAGAATGTGGAAATGACATTGCCAACTTACAATCACAAGATGTCTCGCTTAACAACTACAATGATTCACTTGGTTCTAAGTTGGCATGGCAACATGGTTTTTCACTTAGTGACTGCAACGCTTAGTGACAGAGTTGCCAGTCCCAATTGTTGGTAAGCAAAGACTACCTCTGCATGATAGGCAGTTTCATAAATTTTTGCTACCTTGTGCAAAACAATTTAAATACTGTTGTGATTGGTAGATTCCACATAATTTTTCATTCATCAGTATGTTGAGACTGCATAAGTGGAAGCACATTGTTTAATTTAGTATCATTTTTTTGGATGCAGTGGTCAACTCCAAATATAGTGCAACCTATGTATGCCCTTTCTAGAAGGGCATCTTTGTGTCTTCCCTTGCCAAATTGCTTACAAACAGAAGACAACTTCATTGAGGATGAGATGTCAGGGTAAGGAGAAATGCATCTTGTGAATGAAAATTGTGAAACTAATGTATGAAAGCTTGCATAAGAGTGAAACAGAAAGACAAAGCAAATACAACATAGCTTATATAGGATTATCAGGTTGATTATAGCCATACTTGAAATGTTTCTGAGTGGTGTCAACTCTACTTGAATGATTGTTTTCTTCAACTTGATTAATGTGCAGCAGCATTAAAGTTCACTATTAAACATAGTGACTCTATCTTTTATAGAGAAACTCCAACAGTTTGACACTAAGATTATTGATTTTTTTTTATTTGTGCATTTCTAAGTTTATGTTCTGCTGTTTGGGTATTTGTTTGTTTACTTTCGCTCATTTTTTAAAATTTTGTTTGTCCATTAAAATCTGAGAATGGTTATAAATATTGTAAGTATTGTAATGAATGCAAGTTATTTGAAAAGCTGTTTTATTATATCATTCCTGATAATGCTGAAATGTGGATGTTTTTAATAAAATTTATATTTATTTAATGCACTCTGTCTTGTGCATTGCCAGATTCAATCCTTCTCTACTTTCACTTATTCAGTAATTAGTAACAAGTTTTTAAAAAGTGGTCGGGTTTTCCAAGGATCCAAGACTGAATGAGAATGGTAACTGTTTAATGATATCGGCTTGGGAAAAGTAGCACTGCTTCAGATATGTGGTTACATGTAAATCTATTCACAAAACCGCAATGAATGTAAATTTAAAATTATTAATAATTGTTTGTGAGAATTAGTGAAGGGTACCTAGGTGGCTGGCAAGAATTTAGAACAGGGGTGTCAAACTGCCAGCCTGCAGGCTGGATACATCATAGCAAAACCGCGCCCACCCCATTGTCGGCAATGGCAAAAAAGTTGTGATATGTCGCGACACGTCACATGACGTTGCGAGTTTGACACCCCTGATTTAGAAGATAAGACAGACCACTTTTTAGTAGTGACCAGAGTGGACCTTA